ACATAGATATAAGATAAAAACTCGAATCCTATATTCTTCATCAATCAAGCGTTTTACACAACAAAAAGAAACATGTATGTTTTTAATGCATCCATGTAGTATGTTGCCTGGCAAGATTACATTGTTTTTTTCTGATTTCAGTCATCATTATGCAGATGATTGAAAAAAGTTATAGTGCTTCCTTCGTGTGCTTTTTCTTAGTTCAATTTAAAATCAATATGCTATATATTCTTATGTCATCAATAAAGAAGAAATAGAACAAACCCTCGTGTATTTAATCTCTGCTTACTTGTAATGAAATGAAATATGATTCTTTCGTATTCAGGCACCAATCGAATATTTTTTTTTTGTTTAGTGAAAAAAACAATGATGAAGTTGTTGCAATAATATAATACTCAATAAACTTCGTACAATCGGCATAAAAAGTAAAATTGACGAAAAATCGTTGAAAAAGCTAAATACTGAATAGAAAAGAAAATTGATGATTAAGAATTAGAAGATAATTATGTATGATACTGCAGAACATAGAAAGTACATTAATAATCTGTCTTCATTTTTAGCTGATATTGTATATAACACTACTTAAATCAACACTATTAGAATTCTTCAATAATCTCAAAAAATTGAGCGAGAAGTTAGAAATCGCTGAAGAGTTATGACGAATGTTGTCTAACAAGGAAAAATCCATCAATTTTGATATCCCCTCTATATTTATGATCTTAAAGATGAAATTAGACAAAATGAAGCAACAAAATGATCTTACTTTTGTATATTTAAAAATGAAAATTATAAATGTGAGAGTGTGGATAAGGATGCACTAATGTGCTTGAAGAGAAGACCCATAATCACACACCCTCACCTCATCTTCAAATGCACTCACATCAAAACGAAATGTCGTACTTTCATATTTTACCGTACTTTAATGTGCGTTAGACTACTTTAGAGCTTTGCCAACGCTAGATTTGAAGAGACTCCATTACTTTTTGAATATCTCGCCATATTTCCAGTTATCGAACTGTTGTTTTCATCAATGTATAACCACAGCTAGGGGAACTAGCACTACATTGAATTCTATTTGATCAACCATTGGGCAAACCATTAACAGACATATACTTTGAGAAAATAGGCCCGAATTCGATGAACATAGGACCTGTTTTTCTATTTCGCATACATTTTGTAACAAAGCTTATCTGATCTACACTCACACAAAATTTCAAACAGTTTCCTTTTGTTCTAAGCAAGCTGAATCAAAGAAATTAGAGACATATCAAGTAGTTTGACAGATCATTCTCTGATAACAAGTAATATTAAAATCACGTTGATATTTAGGCTTTCGACTCATATGAGTCCACCGACATTGATAGTGAGGCAACGAACAGGCTTTCTTGATTAAAAACTTTTTACAGTGATTGTTTTGAATTGATATGAGGGTGCGAGTGTGTGGTTGCATGACATATAGGTGTGAGCTTCTCTTCACCAAGGACCACAGCCACTCTAATTCATATTCTTATAACTATAATGATTTTTAACTTCCATTTAGAAGTTTTTTAAATATATTTTCAATAGGAGAGTTACGAAGTTCTTATTTGATATGAATTTAACTTCTTTTACCATTAAGATGAATAATATAACGAACATAAAATCCTTTAAAGACACGGATCTATGATATCCACATGACAAGGTTTTTTTCATTAATCTTAGTTCAGTATCATACGAGTGTCTTCAACACCCATAAACTTCATACGACGAAAAATAACCATAACAAGTAACTTTTAATTGAAATAAAAAAATAAAGAACCATTATTTTATGATTAAGAAATCTCACCATAAATGTATAAATCAGAAAACGTCACAGGAAACTTGCCCTATAATCAAGGGGTGAATAGCGGAATCCTGGAATTCAGAGGAATTTTAGGGAATTCGAGGGAATCTGAGGGAATCCGAGAGAATCCAAGGGAATTCAAGGGAATCTGAGAGAATCAGAGGGAATTCAAAGGAATCCAGGGGAATCCGAGGGAATTTAAGGGAATCTGAGAGAATCCGAGGGAATCCAAAGGAATCCAAGGGAA